CCTGGGATTTGTCATTTATCATTGCAGCTGAACCATAGGCAAACTAAAAAAATATATTACTAATTATAGTTATGGAATTCCAGGGTAGAATACATTTAAGTTGTATTAATATTTTGGGATAAACCTATAAGATTTGGTCTCTGGGATAGCTTTTTCCACTAGGATAAACCATCATGGCTGACCCTACAAGGGGAAAAAATTCTTCTCTTCCCCAAATATTCTGATCTCAGACAGGAGAAGAAATTTCCCCGTGGTAATCCCTGAAATCTATGGAAGAATCTTCCCCTGCTTCCTCTTTTCTCAACTTTTGTCATACTTTGAGGACAAGTCAAGATGTTCATTCATTAATTAGTGTTTTTAATATTGCTTGTATTCATACGGTTTCCTCTATACAGTGAAAGTTTATGGGCTTTTTACATCTATCAGAAATTTATCATTAATTTTTGTACCTTATGATTCTTGACGAATGTATCTTTTCTTTTATGTACTTTGGGAGCATATGCACCAAGACAAATTCCTTGTGTGTCCAATCACACTTTGCCAATAAAGAATTCTATTCTATTCTATTCTAGTATGATTAATGTGATATGAATATCTTAATCTGTAAGTGAATTACAGATTCAGAATATAGAATAACAAAGGGACCTTGGAGGTCTTCTAATCCAACCCACAACTTCCAAAAGAAAACCATTCCACTGTTTTTTTGTTCTAATTGTCAGGAAATTTCTTCTTAATTCCAGGTTACTTCTCTCCTTGATTAGTTTCCATCCATTGATTCCTGTCTTGCCTTCAAGTTGACAAAAATAGGCTGACCCCCTCTAATTTGTGACACCCCTAAAATATTGGAACACTGCTTCATTCATTAAATTAGAACTGTATCAAAGCTTAAAAGTTTTCACTCCTGTCTCTTCTTCTTCTACTAAAAAAAACCCATTTATTTTCTAAATAATGGCAAAAGCATATATAAAATGCAACCTCCCCTTTCCTTTCAATTGTTCTTTGAATGAGGCCAACTCACCTGTGGAATTTTGTAGATGCATAGAATGCTTGCCATAAAAAGGCAAACATTACTGTTAGGACCACAAATAATGGCGGCTATATTGGTCTGGACATCACACTTATAGTTCGGGATAAACCTGCCCCGTGTAGAGAGAAGTTCCACTGAGCCCCGATAAGTCCATCTGGCATGAAAATTGCTGTTCAACACATGGAACCCCAAAGAGACATTAGGCAAGATGCTTGGATTTTCATTAATTGTTTCAACTGCAAATTGCAAAGCCAGAATATGTTGGTAGTTGTGAGTTAAGATGCTGTAATAAAAATAAAATCTTTTCATGGATCTTCTTTAAAATATATCACAGGAACCACATTTCAAGAAATGAATAAAATGCATGAATTGCTATTTGCTACGTTGCATTTCCATGCAACAAGGGCAAAAAGAAAAAAAAACTTGACATAATTTCTAAATATTTGAATTCTTGGTCATCGCTGAGTATCTAAATCAACTTTAAACATTTATAATTGTAGGGATGTTGCTTTCAAAAATCTTCAAATATCACTGTTGAAGCTGTTTGTGTAATCTGTACATATTTTTTCCTAGAACTTTATTGTGATCAGTCACATGTATTAAAAGGATATAAGGCAAAATTATTTCTTTTCCACAGTTATGAATATAAAAGCATGATGCTTTCTTGTGGAAAGAAATTACTATGATAATAAATATGGCAAGTTGGACAGATTACATTAGACAGGTAATTTTCCAATATAAAGGTATCTTTTTATTATCCTGCCAACACCTAGACTGTGGGGAAATACTTTTGACTCATATCATACACCTATTGCTGAATTGTGGCTTTGCCTCTAATTCCATGTCTAGGAAAGTCTGACCCCAAAATCTGTCTTGATAGAGATAATTCTGTGTTATGGTTTTCCAGAGAGACAAAAAATTGACCGGAAAGGACTTGGACAAGAATCACTGGAAATGTAAAGCTTTAAATGGGGATGACTTTAATACACTTTTTAATGCAGCAATTCTATAGAGAACTGCCTCAAGATGCTTTATTTGCAGCATTTTATATGAGCATTTTTAAAAATCAAATGACATTTATATAATACCAAAGAAGTTTAATACCAGCATAATATATAGGGAAAATTACACCAATCCAAATTAATTAATCTCTAATTCTTCCTAAAATATTCTGAATGAACTTTGTAATGTATTTCAATTCCTTGATTAGTATCAAGGAAAAGCTCACACTAATCAGTGGAGTCTCTTCCCAAAAAGATATGAAGGTCTAAGGGCACATGTTCCATTGTTTCTCCAATAGTCTATATGTACTGATACCTTCTTGATAATCCCCATTATAACATCATAAACATAACAAAAAGAAAAGAGTTTCTTAGAGGAACAGGGAAGCAAATAAATCTCCTAAGAGTTCAGAGAGTTTAATATCAGTGTTAGTTAGTCTGGCTCGCTAAGGATATAATGTGGTTTCAAACCAAAGAAAACCTTACTTGATGAAATCAAATAATACAGAAGAAGGATTTTCTTCAAAGTTTTAATAGATTGGAAAATACTTAAATCACACTCTAGTCAGTGGAAGTTCTTCGCTTCCACAATACATGAAGCCTAAGGATACCTGCTCCATTGTTGCTGGTCAATGCAATGTTTTACATGACATAGCAGCTATATAAAATAGGAGATAATTAACATATGTGATCACAACCAATAGCCTATATTGATATCTTCATGAAAATCTCAATTTTGATTTCATAAATATAATGACTGTGGAAAGGAAAAGTGAAGAGTTTCTTAGACAGACAGAATTGCAAATAACTATCCTAAGAATTCAAATAAAATAATAATCAGTCTTAGTTAGGCTGGTTCACTGAGGATATAATGTGGTTCCAGATCAATGGAGAACATAGTTTACCTTACTTGTTGAAATCATATACGTCAGAAGAAGGATCTTCTTTAAAGTTTAATAGATTGGAAAATACATAAATCTGAGAAAGAATGCCACCAATGGTAAAGTCACCAGGATAATAGTATTTGTGAAGAATAGAAAGAGGATGGCTCATGGGACATTTCACACAAGACCTGATCTGAACAATTTGACATGTCAATGTTACTAGAATCAATACTTCTATCTCCACCATCATGCATTTATATTTGTCCATCTAGATTCCAAAACTTATATATTTACTTTGATATTTAAATCAGACTCACTGACTTCAGTTAACTTATTTTTGAAGAGTTCTCTGGACAATTGTGAAATAGACAGGTGAAGTGATGCCTGTGTCTAGGTACCTATTAACCTTGTTATTTATCTGTGGTGTTTCTTAAGTAGAATAAATTATGGTTGATTTGATAATTACAGGGGAAATCATCACCTGTGAAACTGACTTCTTTGTAACATCACTAGTGAAAATTATGTTCAGTATACTTTTGCAATGAAATAACAGTAATAGTTTTGATCAAGAGGATGATGTCCAAAAATGATTTGTCAAAGAGGCATTCCATATTCTGGGTTGTCCTGTTACTTGCAACATGCCTCAAACAAATAATGGTGATATTTATTATACTTAATGACTTTAGAGCAAGATATTTCCAAAATGCCAATAATATATATACTTGAGGTCAATATCTGTTATTGAGGTCAAGTCCTTTGTTTTGGTTTAGCATGAAGGCAATTTTTAAATATATTTATTTTGTTTTATCAACAAAAATAAAATGCAAAACAGAAAAAGAAAAAATATATATCCAATAAAAAGAGGACCTGGAAAATATCTACAGCCCCTCATATTCTGGACATAAACTTTTTCAACTTCTTCCCTTTAGACGATGCCATAGGGCAAGGGTGTCAAACTGGTGGCCTGCGGGCCAGTTACATCATATGCAGGCCATGCTCACCCCTGCTCCGTGAATGGGGAAAATGCTGTGAAATGCATGTGACAGCAATGTGACATGGCAAGTTTGACACCCATGCTATAGGGCAATGCACGACAGTACAACTAGACACAAGGACTGTTTTTCCCCCCATGCCATAAATCTGATAAACAACTAACACCCCCCCACCTATTGTCAAACTACCTAGTAGGGCTGTGTTACTATTATCCATCTCATCTTTCCTATTACCTATTTCCTCATCCTTTTATGACTATAACTTTGTTGCTTATATCTTATGATTTATATTAATTGTTTCATTTTGTATCCTAGTATGACTTATATTGATTGCTTATTTAGTATCCTATGATAATAACCCAAATATTAAATACTTTTAACATTTAACATAAAGAATCCACCTCAGCTGGATGCTGGAAATAAAATCATAAATTATTCTCCCCTTTATATAATAGGCCTACAAATAGTTATAAGCTTTCCCATTGCTATTTAACAAGAATACTATACCAATGTAGGATGAAGACATTTTTGATGGTAACAAGAGAGAGAACATTTTGGGAGATTATACCCTTCTGACTCATTCTGACTCTGGTGGTCCTCCTTATTAATTCATGTTTTATTTAGCTTTAATATATTAAATATTGCCATTCAGTGATTTAGAAGTATTAAAATAAATAAATAGAAAGAGGATGTATAACATCTAAGCTAAACATTATGCTAGCTGAAAAGCCCACACATTTAAATTTTAGGGAAGCTGGTAGGATGTATATTTGAATATGTCCCTCAACATTTTTTGAGATAACCTGATAAATATATACATATTTGCTATGAGCTTTTGAAAAACTCACTGGAAAGTTAATTTTTTCCTTATATTGTTAAAAGACTCTTCCAATGCACCTTAATAATGTTTCATATCTTAAATTTTATTATTAATTATAAAATGTTCATAATTTATTTTTCATTGTTTTATTTTTTAGTACAATTGTTTTAATAGCAATCTGAAACTTGTTTTTTACTGTAAAGAGCCGATAAATTCAGTTTTACATGCGACAAGATATAAAATTTTGATGATTATAATAAATAAGCTATTCTTTGACTATGACTTTCGTCTTCTTAGCTGTTCCTTGTTATTCAGTTCAGGCCTCACAACAATGATATAACATTTAGGGGAGAAGATGCAGAGCAATAAACCAGCACTGGAGGCCAAGATGGAAAAAATCTCCACGGCCACCATGTATTTGCCCTTTGTGCTTAAATAAGTTGGAACAAAGGACACCCAGACACTGCAGAAGACCAACATGCTGAAGGTGATAAACTTGGCTTCATTGAAACTGTCAGGCAAGTTCCTGGCCAAGAAGGCCACCGTGAAGCTGATGGTAGCCAAGAACCCCAGAAATCCCAAGACAATGTAAAACATGGTGATAGAGCCTTCTTTACATTCCAGGATAATTTCTTCAATCAGGGAGTGCATGTCAATGTCTGGAAAGGGAGGAGTAGTTACCAACCACCCAGTGAAAATCAAAGCTTGAATAAAAGAGCAGGAGAGGACGATGGAGCTGGCCATTTGCTTTCCAGACCATTTCCTCATCCCACCACCTGGTGTGGTTGCCATGAAGGCCAGGACCACAATGATGGTCTTGGCCAAAACTGAAGAAATGGCTATTGAGAAGGTGATGCCAAAGGTTGTTTGTCGAAGGAGACACATAAGCTTTGTGGGCTGTCCAATGAAGAGCAAAGTGCAAAGGAAACAAAACAAAAGGGAAATGAGAAGAACATAGCTGAGGTTCCGGTTGTTGGCTTTGACAATGGGAGTCTCCCGGTGCTTAATGAAGATGTAAAGCACCAAAGCTGTGAGGAAAGAAAACAAAAGAGTGCAAAGGGTAAGCATAATTCCTAAAGGTTCTTCAAATGAGAGGAAGCTGATACCTTTCGGAAGGCACATATTCCGATCCACGTTGGGATACTGATTTTCTGGACATTGAAAACAGTCTTCCATATCTATGAAAGAAACATGCGTTAGGAAACACAACCAATCTTCATTCCTCCAATTTCATTAAATAATAGCCACCATTTATAGATTTGTTAAAGCAGACAAGTTTTAGCAAACATTAAGATGTCCCTAAGACGTTGATAAAAATACTTGCTAAAAACCCCTTTTCTTGTATTGCACTATTAAACTAGGCAGGTTATAAAAAGAAAAATTACACAAAAATTAAGATACAAAAAGAAAGTAAAACATAAATAAAGAAATTATTTCTTTAAAAAATTAGCAACAAAATTTTGCCATGCCCTCCATTTTCCCCAGAGCTCGAACAATTACCACAATAGTTGTACTGGATTTTCAATGTGAAACACTAAAAATTATTTCTAGTCATTTCATCTTTGAAATCTGTTTGTTTTTTTTTTCCCTCTGAAAAATTGTATTCCAAGCATGTGGATTTAATCGCTGTGTAATGCATTTCCATTGAGTAATTTCCAACCTCTTGAACTTTCTTTACAATCTGTTGGTTGTTTTTTTTTTGTTTGTTTTTTTTTAACAATCTTTACAGTGGCAAATCAGACTGCAAAAGTTTACATATTCTATAAATAAATTAGCATCAGTAAGAGCCAGTGGTGAAATCCAAATTTTTTACTACCAGTTCTGTAGGCATGGCTTGGTGAGTATGGTGTGGCTTGGTGGGCGTGGCAGGATAAGGTTACTGCAAAATCTCCATTCCCACTCCACTCCAGGGAAAGGATACTGCAAAATCCCCATTCCCTTCTCACTCCTGGAGGAAGGATATTGCTAAATCTCCATTCCCACCTCATTCTGGGGCCAGCCAGAGGTGATATTTTCCAATTCTCCAAACTACTCAAAATTTCCGCTACCAGTTCTCCAGAATCTTTCAGAACCTGCTGGATTTCACTCCTGGTAAGAGCTAAGAAAAAGATAGATGGTATGGAATGCCTGTGCAGCCCTGAATTGAATATTTTATTCTCAGGCAATAGGTTCTGCAATAATACTCTCCTATTGGAACACTTACCGTTTTGGTTTGAAATCTTTCCTTCAGGACATAAATGACAATCATAGCAGCAAAATGGCTTCCCCTCAATCTTGGTTTTACTATAACCAGAATGGCAGTTGACATTACACAGAGAAATAGGTTGAATCTGTGTGGAAATGGAAGAGATGAAAATGTGTCACTGTTCAGAAAATTAATTTAATAATTTTTTTCGGGGGGGGGGTCTAACTTTTTTCTTTTCCTATTTGCTTTGGTTTTTGGTCTCTTTGAGTCAGTCTTATCACATAGTGACTTCCTGGAGTTCCCGTGCACTTCTCTTGGTAAGATTTCAGAAGTGGTTTGCCATTGCTTCCTTCCCAGGGCTGAGAGAGAGGGACTGGTCCAAAGTCATCCAGCTGGTTTTGTGCCTAAAGTGGGACTAGAACTCACAGTCTCTTGATTTCTAGCCTTGTTCCTAATATTACAGGTTACACATTGATAATGACTTGGCCAGGGGTGGTATTCACTTACTTTCCCTACCGGTTTGCAAATGTGAATGCGCAAATGTGAGCTTTGCTGGCGCACGCTCCTTCTACGCATGTGCCCGGCCTCAAAAATGTGCCTAAATAGGATGACATAGAGCCAGGGCAGGTGGGCGGGCCCACCTGTAATTTCCACTACAGGTTCAGGTGAACTGGTCCAAACCGGCTGAATACCACCTATGGACTTGGCACAAGTTATAAACATGGCTGAAAAAATTACACCAAAATACAAATAAAATTCCAAAATATATTGTTTTACCTCCCCGCCCCTCACCTTAAAGTAAATTTTCTCTCATCATTTTAAAACCTCAGGAATTTTTTTTTTTTTTAAATAATGTGATGAACATCACCTGTTTGAAATTGTTGTGCCATATAATAGCATTTTCAGAGATGGTGAATACTTTCCCAAGAGAACCCAGTGGTGCTACTCCTCCAACTTTTACTCTCTGGAAGGATTGATTGGGAAATGTGACCCAATTTATAAGATCAAATCCAACTATTAATTCCCCATGTGAACTAAAGGTGAAGGTTTCTCCAACACTATTGTTAAATGAGTTGCTTTTCAAATAATGGTGAAGCTAAATTAGAATGGGAAGAAAAGTAATTACAAGAAGGACAAGAACGCCAGGAATAATAATTCAATAATAGTCTACTATTTTACATATACCGTGTTTCCTCGAAAATAAGCCCTCCCCAAAAATAAGTCCTCCCCGAAAATAAGCCGTCCCTGAAAATATTTAAATGCATATGCAGCTGGTCTGATTAGGGTTAGGGAGACAGAGCTGGAAATTAGGTAAGATGGCAAGAGGAGCCCCGTCTTTCTTCACGCATCCCAAAATAAGCCCTCCCCGACAATAAGGCCAAGCACTTATTTCGGGGTTCAAAAAAATATAAGACAGGGTCTTATTTTCATGAGAGACATTTATTCTATTCTTTCTTGTATCTGTCTCTTTAACCTCTGATGTGCCTTGAGAATTTTTAAGGGATGAAATACAACACCTTCTGTTTCATTAGCTGAAATAAATGGCTCTGAGAAACTGTACCTTTTAACACAGATAGAATAAAAGAACTGAGAACACAATAAGATCCTCCGGGGGGAAAAATCTTATCCTTCAGAAAATAATAAATTAGATCAACTCAAAGGACAATACTTATAATATTGATGCACCTAAAATTGATGTTTGGTTTGATTGCTATTTTTCTTTTCCTTTGTGCCTGAAGCTTTTTAAAGATACACTTAGGGGAAAAATTGAAATTAATTTGATAAAAAATAATAATTAAATTAATTCATTTTGCTTTGGTTTTTGTTGGGTTTTGGAATGTTCTTGTAATGTGTAAATTCAATAGAGAGGAGGAGGAGGAGGTGGAAGTGGAGGTGGAGGTGGAGGTGGAGTTGGAGGTGGAGGAGGAAGTGGAGGAGGAGGAGGTGGTGGAGGAGGAGGCCTGGTTTCCAAGGCTGAGGAAGAGTGTCTGGCACAAGAGACTGGCTTTGTACCTAAGCCAAGGCTAGAACTAATGAAAGATGCCTCCAGTCAAGTCATAGCTGAAATCCTAAATTTGTCATTCTATTTTAGAGTTAAAGTCTGGTTGTTGAAGAGATTTGCCTTTAGTCACTGTGACAGCCACCAGAAAAGAAAGCACAGAAGATGGAAGAACAGTGTGATCGATCTGGGTGAGAGACTCTTAACTTTTACTTTTTAATTTTTTTATGGAAGAAAGAGTCCCCTGGAAACAGCTGGTGAAAGTGAGACCTAAAAAGGAGGAGGTGGAACTGTTTTTCCTCCACCTCCCAAGAAAAGCGGTGAGTAAAGCATAAGAGCCATTTTTGAGAACAGGAAGTAAAGCCAAAGAACTTTTAAAAAAGTTGAAAATAAACTTTGCAATTTGGAAGCTGGACTGGGGACCTCAAATATAACATTGATTAAGTTAGAAGTTTTTGGATACCATAAAATTTGGACATACTGTACAGACGTTTGCTTTTTATAAAACTTGGATCAGAGTATATTTTATAAAAGAAGGAAGAATGAGAGAGACATAGAGGAACAGTGCCACCTATAGGCAGAAGTGAAAGCTGGGAGGTGTAAAGGAGAAAAGGGAAAAAAGTATAACCTTGAGAAGCTGAAGATAAAGACTGACTACTAGACAAATAATTTCCACACCATAAGTTGTTTATGCTGAATAGCTGAGATAGAGAGTGAAACACTGAGATTTTCTATTTTTAAACAGTGCAGTCTCGGAACTCAAGCAGAAACTAAACAGATAAGGTGAAGCAGAAGCTGAAAACAGTAAAACATTTCCCTTTTTTTATACGTTGCTCTGTGACCTCCCTATCTGTGGATATAATAACTGGTGGATGAATTTTGGGGTTTCGTGGGCCTATGCCAATTACAATTTACCAATTTATATTTTTTTTCATGAAAAGAAAGGATTAGGGTTTGAAGAATCTGAAGAACAATAACAAGTATGTCTGATAACCTTTGGATTATAACTTATACTTTTGCCTTTTCCTTGGATTACAACTAATAGCTTTATCCTTTACGTTTTGTGGATTACAAGTACCAACACACTTCAAAATGAGGAAAACAGCATCTGCACCATCTTCAGCACCATCATCAGCAACATCTAGTCCATCAGGCCAGAAGTCATTGTATGCCATGCTACAGCAAGAGAAAGCAAATGTGATGTAGGCAGAAAGTTATGATTCAAGCCCTACATGATGATATGAAGGAAAGAATAGGGAAAGTGGAGTATAAAATAGAGAATTTTCAACAAATAATGGCGAAAAGTGAACAACACATCCAGAAAGTAGAAGAGAAAGTTGAACAAAAAGAAAAAAGAGTGAAAGAAGTTGATCACAGACTTACTTTGGCAAATAAAAATAAAGAGAGAACAATAATATCACTTGACATGGACCGGGCTTATTATTACTTGCGGTTTCAGAATATTGAGGGAGAAAAGGGAGAAAATCTAGCAGAGATATTGGCAGAGCTGTTGGCGGAGGCTCTAGAGGTGACCAAAGAAAAAATTCTTGCTGAGATTGATGAAATATTTAGAATTCATACCAGATACACGACAGAAAACAAGCTCTTCCTGATTCTGATGGATGTCTTGATGATTGATGCTAATAATGATCATTTCTCATTGAGAGCTGCCTATGAAAGCTGGAGGTTGGAGAAACTCTTTTATGGAGAATTGATTCCTTTTCTAATGAAAAGGAGAAAGGGTGAACACTAATTTCCATATTTTGTGGAGTGCTCCAACATTTTGTCCTATTATTTCTAATTTATATGAAGCTCCTAGAAGATATTGTCTACCACTGTGGAGAGCAATATAATCAATATTCTGAGGTTACTAGGCTTTACATTGTGATAGCAATCTGGAATGTTATGGTTCAGCTGAGCAATATTGCTAGGGTGGGAGAGGAAATAGTATTCATAAGAAGTTACCTTCCATGGTTGTTGATTGAGAAGTTCCCTTCTTCCTCTTCTCTGGATTGCTCTTTTGTTCACTGCCCTGGAATGCATGGCATGCAAAGCTTCTGCCACTACATGAACAGCATTATAGAGGCTATAGCTGTGGCTGGTCATGCTCATTTCAAAAACAGAGCCAGGAAGGGTTTCTAACTTCTCCTCTCCAGTGCAGAGTCCTCCTGGCTTTGTTTCTAGATTGGAATGGGAGAAAGAGCACTGGAATGCCTCTTCCCAGAAGTTGTGGAAGAAGCCATCTTCTTTTTCTGATGGAAGCTTTCTCAATTGAAGGAATTGATGGAAGCTGGAAACGTCTTTGGTGTGAACTGCAAAGGATAGAGCCCCATGGATGAAGTCCATGTCCCAGCTCCGTAGCAGCGGAAGGGATGTGAAATCCGTTTGGGCAGTGAAAATCCATACTTTGGCTTTCATTGGTATGTCATGAAATTTGGAGAACTGAAGCATAATTCTTAAAACCATAATACTTTGAATTTCTCCCAGTACAAGAACTACATTGGCTGTTCTTTCCATAACAATGCTTATTGTCTTCAGTCCTTCCAATGCTATTGGGTTGATTTCTGAAGAAAAACTTATTTGTGGAAATGTTTCTACAAAATCAAAGCAGATAGCTTCCTGAGCAAAAATGGAAAGTATGCTTTCCACATAGCTTTCTCCAATGTCATCGTCTATATATATAACACCAATCCATATCCACTGGAAATGCAGCAATAACTGGAGAATCCCCTTATAGTGATGGTCAAGATTTGGGAATAGCTGATGAAGGAAAACTCCCTGGGATTTGTCATTCATCATTGCACCTGAACCATAAGCAAACTAAAAATATATTATTAATAATAATGAATAATATGACGTGTGTTTTTTATTTTAAAAAAATTAAGATATAAACCTCAAAAAAGAATTATTACAGTAACAAACCAAAACCAACAAGACTTCAGTAAGCATTAAAACTTTTTTTAATGCTTCCAGCATTAAAAAAAAAAGGACCCAAACACACATATATGCATACTATTTCCCCTAGTTGAATACTGATAAAAATATTGCAACACTATTAGTTTCCCTCTTCTTGTGAAACACACCCCAAAATGTTTAAACCTTTAACTCTATTTACAAATTATTAACCGGTAAACTATCTATTATATTTATAACAAAACAGTTAACAGGTAGAACAGCAACAAGAAAGACAAGATTAAAATTTCAGAAACTTATATTAAAAAGCTATTATTGTATTCAATTTGTAGAAATTTTACAGGGTTTCTTATCTATCCCACATCATCCCAATAGTTAACTCTAATTTGTCCTGGATTGAATATCCTAATTTCTTAATAACATTTTTTATCAATTATTGTTTGGTTAAATATATTGAATTCATTCTTCAAAAGCAATTTATTTTCGCAAATTCGTCCAGATGAAATTGTTTTCCAGTTGAATTTGATACATCTGTTCCCCAATCTTCTTCAATCTTCTTAAGGGAAACCAATGTATTACTCATCTATTCAGTTCGTTCTAAGTCTCTAAGGGCCTTATTTCCTTAAATCTTCTCCACTGAATCTGCCAATTTCAAACCAAGTTCCTTTTTTTAAATCTAGTTTAATTGCAGTTACTTTCCTCTGGGCTGATTATATTCTTTTTTCTTGTAATTTAGCAATTGGAGATAAGAAAAATCTTCAAGGACAGAATACAAAGAATCTTGAACTGAGATTCTTCAGAGTAATAAAATGAATAGAGAAGCCAAAAGGATTTTTTGGTGGTATATTTTGATACAAAATTAAAAGCTCCAAACTTTTTGCAAATTAATAAAATGCAAAATTCCTATAGAGAAAGTCCAATATAGATATAAATCAAGTCATTGCCCAATAACATGCCATGACTTCCTTAAGGAAAAGCAAGATGTATTCAAAGCAGCAAAGTAGATCAAAGGAGAGGCAGAGAGAGGCAGAGAAAGACACACACACACACAGTGAGAGAAACAGAGACAGAGACAGAGAGACAGAGAGAGAGAGAGAGAGACAGAGACAAAGTGCAGCAGGGGATTAAAATAAATTAAAAAAATAGAAGCCAGTTAACTTTTAGAAGTACTATAAAAAGCCAATAAAGAAGAATATTTGCAGCTCAGGGTTGAAATGAGAAGTCCTTGATGCTTTCTGAATTTGGTTAGTTTCTTGCAGATGTTTCATTACTCAAACTAGGTAGCATCATCAGTGCTAGAGAACATCTGAGAATATCACTGATTACATCCCCAGCCTACTCCAAAATAGAACATTGAACAATCACACTTCTATCTCAAGAATTAAATCATCTTATTTGGGACACAGGGTACTGTCATATAAATTATATAATGATGGAAAAGGTAAGGGAAAGAAAAGAAGTAACAATCAGTAGCAAGGTGGATAGACTGGGTTAATGCAGTTTTGGAAGACATGTAGGCCAAGTTGAGACATATCAACCTGGAAAAGGTCTGTTTGTGCTCTTAATGAGTCATCACCAACTTAATAGCACTTAATCAATGAATCAATCAATCAGTCAGAAAGGATTGCTTGAAGTGACAGAGCTTAACTTCATTCGTCAATAGGCAACTTTGGATATGCTTATAAAGAGTAGAAGAAATGCTGGTCACAGTTATTTAGAAGAGCATTAAGGTGGTCTCTGAGTGCCACAAATGACAGAAAGCAGGGACAGAAGTGCCATTTTTTTCATTGAGGATAATTGGAAGTTTTTGGTTTTAAAATATGTGTGTTAAGATTCTGAAATTTACCTCAGTATATGAAAATGTATCATGTGGCTGTTGATCAGTTCAAAGATAAAAAACCCCATTTGTTACTTTTGTAATTAGTCAGAATTACAAGAAAATGTAAATGTTTTTTTCTTCAGAAAACAGAAAAAAACTTCTAAGTAATGGCAAAAGCATGTGTAAAATGCACAAGAACCCCCACTCTTTTCAATTTTTATTTGAATCAAGGAAACTCTCACCTGTGGAATTTTGTGGGTGCATAAAATATTTGTCATAAAATGGCACACATTAGTGTTAGGACCACAGATAACAGCAGCTATACTGGTCTGGACATCACATTTATAGTTCGGGATAAACCTGCCCCGTGTAGAGAGCAGATCCAGTGAGGCCCGATAAGTCCATCTGGCACGAAAATTGCTGTTCAACACATGGAACCCCAAAGTGACATTAGGCAAAATCCTTGGATTTTCATTAACTGTTTCGACTGCAAATTGCAAAGCCAGAATATGTTGGTAATTCTGAGTGAATACACTGTAATAAAAATTTAAAAAGACTTTCTATGCATCTTCTTTAAAATATAACATAGGAACCACATTTCAACTCAGGAGATGAATAAAATACATGATTTTTTTATTAGCTAGATTGTACTTCCTTGCCCACAAGGAAAAGAGAAAAGAAAACTTGTTATGAATTTCTAAATGTTTGAATCTCAGCCCTATCATTTTGTGTGGAAAAAAAAATCTTGGCCATCGCACAATGGCCCAGTTAGTATCCAAATCAATTCTAAACATTTATAATTGCATGAATGTTGACTTTCAGATGTCTTGAATGGTTGTTGAGGAGGTGTATAATGTGATCCTTCATGTGTATCGGAAGAACAAAATTATTATTTTTTTCTGTAGCTACAAACCTAAAAACCTGGTGCTTTCTTGAAGAAAAAAAAGACTACTTTAAGAAATTTGGCAAGTTTTTTTTTTAAATGAAGTTAAGGTTCTACACAGAAAAAAAAGATCATCCTCATGTTAGTTAGTTAGTTATTGGAATCATGAAGTTTGCTATAGAAAGGATATTGAAGAAACATATGGGACGTGTTATCAGGTTCCTTCAATCACAAGGGCAAGTTTGCTCGGGAAAAGCTGTATTGTTAAACTTTCTTAGAAATGTTTGAAATGGGAAGATACTAAATCTCATCAAAGAGGGACTTCTACAATCTGTTGGACAGGTTATATTGGATGGGTAATTTTCTGGCATGAAGGCATCCTTTTATTATCCTGCGAATACCTAGACTTTGGTGGAAATACTTGAGATCCATATCATACACCTGTGGCAGAATTGTGGCTTTAGCTCTAGCTCCATGGCTAGCATAGGCTGACCCCAAAAGGTGTTTGGACACAGTGTTATGGTTTTCCAGAAGGACAAAAACTTGTCCTTCAGTACAAGGACTTTGAGTAAAGGACTTTGAGGAGAATCATGGAAAGATAATGCTTTCGGTAGGGATGAGTTTAGTATAATTTCTAATGCAAAATTCAATTTTGCAGACAACTGTCTATAGTTTCTTTGCTTGCAGACTGTTCTAAAAGACTTTTATAAGCATTTTTTAAATTTATTGACATTTATTTAATGCCAAAGAAGCACAATATATAAGGAAAATTATACCAATCCAAATTAAATGAAACAATGTCTGCATAATTAGACCAAGAAATAGTTATCTACGCTTGGTTTACACTAGGCATTTTTTTAATGTTCCTATTACCAATAGAGCTGGTTGTCTGGGTTGCTGCTCATGTTATTCTAGATATAAATTTAGTGATCAAATTGGATTTGGTGGGCCAAACAATAAATCCAGAATGATTTCCAAATTTCAAACTTGTTTTCTGATAGAAAATTCCCTTTACTGAATGCAAGCAAAGCTTGTGCAGAACCTTCAAAATTAAATCTTGAAAATTACAGATTCCAGAAGAGGGAAAACGTATTATTTTGAAGCAGAAAGGAAGGATTAATTAAAAAGTTCTCTTAAGTAGCTAGAGCATATTTATATTCAAACCAACTAATATTCTGGGTACCTTGTAAAGGAAATTAAGCTATAAGTTATATAAGCAGACACAATTGTATTAATAGCTAAAGTATCAACTAAAATATTATCAAATGAGAAATGAGAACAATATTTTTCCTTGGAGAGAAGTCTTATTCTTGATGACAAAATACTTTTATAAACATTCACTTTAATTCTTCCTAAAATATTCTGAACAAACTTTGTAATGTATTTCCATAATTTGTATCACTGAATAGAAAGCTCATTCTTGTCAGTGGAGTCTCTTCCCAAAAACGTATTAAGGTCTAAGGGCACATGTTCCATTGTTTCTCCAATAGTCTATGTGTATTGATATCTTCTTGAAAATCCCCATTCTGATATCATAAACATAATGAAAGGAAAAGCAAAGAGTTTCTTAGAAACACAGTGCAGCAAATAAATCTCCTAAGAGTTCAGAGGGATTAATATCAATGTTAGTTAGTCTGGCTCGCTAAGGATATAATGTAGTTTCAAACCAAAGGAAAAGCTTGTCTATCTTACTTGATGAAATCAAATACTACAGAAGAAGGATTTTCTTCAAAGTTTAATAGATTGGAAAATACTTAAATCTCACTCTAGTCAGTGGAATGTCTTCTCAACAATACATGAAGTCTAAGGACACATACTCCATTGTTGCTGGTCAATGCAATGTTTTAAATGACATAACAGCTATATGAAATAGGAGATTATTAACATACATGATATCCAGTAATAGCCTATATGTATTGACGTCTTCATGAAAATCCCCATTTTGGTATCATTAACATAATGAGTGTGGAAAGGAAAAGTGAAGAGTTTCTTAGACAGACAGAATTGCAAATAATTATCTTAAGAATTCATATCAGTGTTAATTAGGCTGGTTCACTAAGGATATAATGTGGTTCTAAACCAACAGAAAATGTGGTCTACCTTACTTGGTAAAATCAAATACTTCAGAAGAAGGATCTTCTTTAAAATTTAATAGATTGGAAAATACATAAATCTGAGAAA